GTGGAGGAGCGGCAGCAGTGGGAACCGTCCTCCGCGCAGCAGCTATGTGGTGTGTGGCTGCGACAGGTGGCGCTACTGCAGGAACATCACCAGCAAGGGCGACCTCTGCATCTGCGGCAGCAGCCTCGGCAACCTCGTGCCCGCGGGCCACGTCTACAAGGACGACGATGGAGGAGCGCTGGCAGCCAAGCCACAGGGCGGAGGAACGCCAAGGCTCACTTGGGCTGATGGCTGGCAGCCAGGAGGCAGCGCAGGAGGTGGCGACAAAGCAGGTCAGCGTGACCAAATGGTCAGCTTCCAGGCCGCCGCAGCCGCAGCCTACAACAAGCTCAGCAAGGATGACCCGCTCAGGGCCCACTACGAGGCGCTCTGGCCAGACCAGGCCGCGGTAAAGCCGACCACCGCAGAACCAGTCGGTTTCAAGGCAGTGGAAGCCGCCGCCAGAAGACTGGACAAGCTCCAGAAAAAGGTGCGAGCAGCAGGAGAGCAGGTGGAAAGCGCCAAGCAGTACCTGGTGGAGAGCGAACGCAAGCTTCATGACGCCATGGCAGCATCCATCGTCGCGGAGGAAAAGTTCGACACGCTCAAGGCCCAGGTCGGAAAGCCCGAAGTGCCAGCAGCAGAACATGTTGGAGCAGAGAAGACGGCACTGGCATCCCTCCTGGAGCATTTCGAGAAAGAGCCAGACGACTTCCACAAGTGGGCAGGACCTGACAAAGAAGCCCGGCGAGCAGCAAAAGCAAAAGGCGAGGCGATGGCGCAGAAAGTCAAGGAGCACGAGGAGGAGGCGGCAAAGCACTTGCGGTACTTGGAGGAGGAGACTGCCAAGCACCAGGAGCAGCTGCGCCTCCTCGAGCAAGCGCGCACAAAGCGCCAGACAGAAGCACAGGAGCCAGGAGGTGACGAAGAACAAAGGGCTCCCCCTGGCAAGAAAATATGCCCCAGCCCCACGCCGCAGCGTGGCCAGCCTGGAGAAGCCGCAGCCTCAGGGGCAGCCGCAGTGGCCACGCCTACTGGCGCCGCTGAGGCTGACACAGCCGAAGAAGCCAAAGTTGGAGCAGACAAAGCAGCAGTTCGACGCGCCCGAGTGGACACACACGTCCAGCAAGCACGAGAAAAGGTTGCGCAGGCTAAGAGGGCGGACGAGGTGGTTGTGGAAGGGGCAGGAGAAGCCCCGTCGGGGTAGTCGGCTGCAGGCGGGCGCGAAGAAGGCTCGCCGCCAGTTCAATGTGGACTTCTTCAACATCACGACCTGGGGCCCGCAGGCCCAGGACTACCTCAAGGAGATCAGCAGCACCAAGGACAGGGACATCATCGGCATAGCGGAGCACCACCTCCGCCAGCCATTGCCGATCAGCAAGGCGCGAGCTGCGCTGCGACGGCATGGCCTGCGCAGCTACTGGACTCGAGCACGGCCAGGTGAAGGCGAAGGCACACGAGGAGGCACATGCGCCATCGCCAGAGGCTCGCTCGACGTACAGGACAGGCTCGCAGGCTTTAAGGACAACTACCTCAACGAGGAGGGCAGCGACATCACGGTCGTGACCGCCCACCTTCGCCAAGTGCGCTTCGCGGTAGCCTTCCTCTACCTGGAGTGCGGCAAGGGCCTCAGCGACAGGAATATGGACATCCTCTGCGACCTGAGAGAGAAGATGGCAGTCTGGGGAGGCCCCTGGGCAGCGATGGGTGATTTCAATATTACGCCGTCGGAGTTCAATGACAGCACGTGGCCCAGGGCGCTGAATGCGCAAGTGGTGGCTGCAGCAGGAGGAGCGCCAACGTGCTTTCCAGCAGAAGGCGCGGCGCGCTGCCTTGACTACGCGCTGGTCTCGCAGGGCCTAGCCCCCTACTTCGACGGCGTGGAGTTGTTAAGAAAGGTACCGTGTCGGCCCCACATAGGCGTTCGCCTCAAGCTGAAAGGAAGACCGCTTCAGCTCAAAGGAAGAGTACTACGCCGCCCAGCAGCCATCAAGCCGCCAGTAACCGCCGAGAGGATGCCCAAGTCGCGGGCAGCCTTCCGCCGTGCTGCCAGAGGAGGGCAAGACGCCATGAGGAGGAGACACCAAGCCCTCGCAGAAGCAGGGTGCGAGGAGGCCGAAAATGATATTGAGCCCGTGCCCCAGTTGTTCTGCGACAAGGAGGTCCAGCACGTGGTCGCAGATGAGCTTTGGCACGCTGCAGCCGAGCAGGTAAGAGTGAAGGTGCGAGAGGAACTCCCGCCACACCTGCAAGGCACCGTCATCAGCAAGCTCATGGAGCAGGACATGCTGGAGTTGGGGCAGCAGTGCGACCTCTTCGCGGGAACCCTGGAGCTCAGCATGTGCGAGAGCATCGGCATCCCAGTGGACGAGCGCGGCAAGCACATGGGCCATGGCCGCCCCCCGACGTTCAAGAGCGTCAGCATCGAGGACACGGTCTCAGCCATCCCATGGGCAGGAGTGGAGCGCAAGATCCACGCCTGGTGGTCGGAGGTTGCCTCGCTCGTTCGCCAACCTTCGCATCATGACGCATATGCCCTGGAGGCTGCGGTGAAAGGCCAGGTGCAGAGCCAGCAGCACCAGGCAGTGCGAACAGGACATGGAGGAGGCAATGTCAACACCAGAACCACGGGCCAGCCCCAAAGCAGACCAGATATAGGCACAGACGGGATGCAGAGGGGTGCCCGTCCCCCACCAGCAGGACGGAGCACCATGGACATGGATGACCATGACCCCTTCCAGGACGAGGAGCACTGGGAGGACAGCGACCAGCAGCCCGCAGACAAGCAGGACCATGAGCATAACCACCAGCAGATCCCAGATGACCAGGACAGCATCGGGTACCACGAGGCAGACCGCGGAGGACCCCAGCGTGGCGAGGGGTTAGGCCACAGAGTACCCCAGCGCGGTGAGGGGTTCGACCGCAACGATCCCCAGCGTGGCGAGGGGTTAGGCCACGCCGGGCCCCAGTGTGGTGAGGGGTCAGACAGCAGCAGGCCCCTGCGTGGCGAGGGGTTAGGCCACAGAGGACCCCAGCGCGGTGAGGAGTCAGACCGCAGCAGGCCCCCGCGAGGCGAGGGGTTAGGCCACGGAGGACCCCAGCGCGGTGAGGGGTTAGACCGCAGCAGGCCCCTGCGTGGCGAGGGGTCAGGCCACGGTCCATCCCAGCGCGGTGAGGGGTTAGACCGCAGGGGCCCCCAGCGTGGCGAGGGGCCAGGCCAAGAAGTTTCCCAGGAGGGTGAGGGGTTAGACCGCTCCGGCCCCCAGCGCGGCGAGGGGTTAGGCCACGGTGGGCCCCAGCGCGGCGAGGGGCTAGACCGCAGCAGGCCCCCGCGTGGCGAGGGGTTAGGCCACGGAGTGCCCCAGCGCGGTGAGGGGTTAGACCGCAGCAGGCCCCAGCGTGGCGAGGGGTTAGGCCACGGAGTGCCCCAGCGCGGTGAGGGGTTAGACCGCAGGAGCCCCCAGCGTAAGCAGGGCGGCGATGAAAACCACCAGCGGATCCTAGACGACCAGGACAACAACGGGAACCAGTCGCAGAGGGAGAACGCCGAAGGGGACAATGGTGAAGGCCCCCAGCACACCTCAGACAAGCAGGACAGCGAGGACTACCACCAGCAGATCCTAAACCAGCAGGAGAGCATCAAGGGCCACCAGGGCATTCGTCGCCATGCTGGAGGATCAGGAAATACTGCCCCAGGTGGCGCGCACAGCTCACCCCCGCAGCCAGGTGGCGATTCGGGGGCAGAGGGTACCGACCACCAAGGGGATCAGAAAGAACAGCCAAGCGACATGGACCTTCCCCCACCAGACCTCTGGAATGATGAACGTCACCAGAGGGAACGCGAAGAATTTGTGAGCATGAGAGATGACCTGGAGAGGTGGGCCGCAATCTGGATGGACGGCCTGAGTCAGGCACCAGTGGACAACACCAACTGGATGGAATGGTGCCCGCCCTTCCTGGAGGAGGTCTTCGCAAACGGCGGCAACATCGGCCTGGAGCGGCTCCTCAGGCGCTGGCAACCCCGCGCCAGCTTCGGCGATATCCTCAGGGACCTCTGCGAGCGAGCGTGGCGGCAGGCAGCCCCGCGCCGTCAAGTACTCCTCACAGGCCTAGCAGAGCTGGAGCCTATGAGGAGATACGAACTGGAGATGATGCATTGGCGGGAGCTCGCAGCGCTGAGGCAGATGATGAGGGAGGCGCTAGGCGCAAGAGCGCCAAGACCCTGAGAATACCGCCAGCCAGCAGCATAACCGGGAGGAGCAGCATGACGACCACATGAAGAGCCCCCTGCAGCAGGCAGAGGACAGAGGAGTCGGCCACCGCAGCAGTTCCGCAACCAGAGCGGTCACCGCACGCTGCAGCAGGCCCACGCGCGTCGACAGCTCGCATGCCAGCCCCAACAACCAGACTGCGGCAGGCACAACGAAGAGGGCGAGGCCAAGGAACGTCAGCATAACCTCCTGGCGACGCTTGGGAGGACTGCCGAGGGAGCCCTGGTGGACCCAGCCACTTGCCACCAGGTCGCTGAAGAAGTCAGGAGCGCAGCCAATAACCTCACCAGGGCGGTGAAGAGAGCGTACATCCACTGGGTCCACGACGCCATGGCAGGCAGCGCCAAGACGGCCCACGCCTACACCAAGGCAGCAGAGCGCAGCCGCACCTAGGACATCCTAGAGCACGAGGGCCAGGTGGACTCGCACCCGCAGCAGCTGGTGGACCTGCGCAAGGGCGCGTGGCAGCGAAGATGGACGCGTGATGTGCACAAGGCAGACCAGATCCAGGGCGCACTGGGCAAGCTGAGGAGGGCAGCGTTAGTGCAAGAGAATGCGCCCGAGCCGCTCAGCAAGGACATCGTCGGCTCCATCATCCAGCACCTGAAGCGCAAAGCGGGCCAGGGAGCTGATTGGTGGAGAGCGCCAGAACTAAAGGCCATGGGCGCCCAGGGGCTCATGGATTTCGCGCAGTGCCTCCACAACTGCGAGAAGCGAGCGGCGTGGCCATGACAGTTCTACTTGGTGCTGGAGCTGCTGCTGGGCAAAATGCCAGGCATAGGAGGAGAGCGACTCATTGGCCTGATGCCCCCATGCCCTACCGCATCTGGAGTGCGGCCAGACGGCCCATCATCGCCACCTGGAGCAAAGAGGCAGCAGGCTTCTGGGACACGGCAGTGGCAGGCTCCTCAGCGCTCAGAGTGGCGATGCGCAGGCTGGTGAGGGCAGAGGCGGCAGTGCAAATGGGCTCCCATGCAGCAGGCATCTTCTACGATGCGGCCAACTCCTATGACAACTTCGGCCTCGACCAGCTGATCGAGAAGGCCAGCGACCTCAACTACCCTCTGCTGCCACTGGCCATGTCAGCACATATGTGCCTGGCGCCGAGGGCCATCATGGCCCACAGCCTCTTCTTCGACGTCTTCGAGCCAGCCAACAGCATGGTAGCAGGGTGTGACCAGGCCGTGGACCTCACGAAGCCGCTCCTCTACGGCGCCCTGGAGGCAGCGCACGTAAACTACATCTACGTGGTGATTCAGCAGTACCTGGACGACCTGGTCCTGAAGATCGAAGGAGCAAGCAAGCAGGTCATAGAGCAGGTGAGGTACGTGGCCGCCTTGGTGCATCAGGGCTTCGCGAGGCTCTCCATCCCGATCTCCATCAAGACGGCAGTCGTGGCCTCCGACAAAGGCCTTCAGCAGGAGATCGCCAACATCCTGGATGGCGTGGGCACCCCGAATAAGCAGCCAGGAGTGGTCCGAGACCTGGGCGTGGATACGGGGCTGGGCAAGCAGCTGAAGCGGCCCACCCATGCAGCCAGACAGGCGAAAGCAAAGCAGCGCATTGAAAAGCTCAAGGACCTAGCTAAGACGGACGCCAGAGGGGCAGCCAAGGTATACGCAGCGGGGGCCCACTGCCAACATGCCTGGGACCTGCCAGCGCACGGCATCACCCCCACGGAGGCGATCAAGGTCAGGGCCACAGAGGCAGCGCTGCTCACAGGAGGGCACAAAGCAGGCAGATGCACAGCCACCATACTCCTGATCCAGAGGGGCGCGCAGGAGGCGGTCACCAGGGCCATCGTGGACCAAGTCAAGCAGCTCTGGCTCACCATTGTGGACCACCCGTCGGAGCTAAAGAGGTACCAGAGAGGCTGACGCATGCTGTGTGACATGCTGCAGGCCCTGGAGCCCAACAGGAGGTGGAACCAGGTAAAGGGCACCATGACAGGAGTCATCGTGCAGCTGCTGGGGCTGGGATGGAACCCAAGGCGGCTGGATCGCTGGGCCAGTCCAGCAGGAGATGAGTGGGCCTACCGGCCAGAAGACATCTCACACTTCGGAGCGCTCCTCCAGGAGGTCCAGTTGCGCGCTCAGCAACAGCTCTGGCAGCAAGCGGCAGAGCATCGGCACGGCGCAGGACAGAAGGAAGGGGGCGACCTCTACCAGCTGCAAAGACACCTGATGAGGGGGCGACGCAAAGGACAACGCGCTGAGGCGGCCATGCTGGAGACCATCGCAGTGGCAGGCATTTGGGCGCGGGAGCGACGCAGAGCAGCGAACCTCAACCAAGAAGGGGAAGACACCTGCGCTAGGTGCGGAGTGGCCAGCGAGACGGAGAAGCACCGCTACTACGCCTGCCCCGCAAACGAAGAGACCGGCTACAGCAACAGCACAGAGCTAGTCAAGAAGACCAAGGACGCGCTCGACCAGCAGCAGGACGAGCACTTCTGGCTCAGAGGGATCCCACCAGCAGCATGGGCAGTAAACGTTGACCCATATGAAGATGTCGAGACGGCGGCGCACATCTTCTGCGCCAGCGCGGCGGCTCAAGCAGCAGTGCAGGAGGGCCACAAAGTCCATGCCGATTACGTGTTCACGGACGGCTCAGGGGGGGGGGGGGGGCTGGTGAGACAGCCAAGGGCCCCAGGTTACGGAGATGCGGCTGGGCGGTGGTGGCCTTCAGGTACGACCAGGACGGCCTGCCCCAGGAGGTGGTAGCTTGGCACGGCACAATAAGGGCGCCGCACACGGTGCCAAGGGCGGAGCTCACGGCCATAAGCAAGGCGATCGGCTACACGACGGCGGCCTCAGCACGAGCGCCCAACATCGTCAGCGATTGCAAGTGCGCCCTGGGCGCCCTCAAGCAGATCCAAGACCCAGAGGACCTCGATTACAGGAGCACCAATTTCGACTTCTGGCTCATGACCAAGCGGCAGCTCCAGAACAGCACCGACCACATCATGGGTCACCACATCCCCAGCCACATGATCGAGCACCCGACGGAGCTGGAAAGGTGGACAGGGCCAACGTGGTGGGTCATAGGCAACGAGATGGCAGACAAGTACGCAAGCTGGGGAGCGGAGCACGGAGCGCTGGACCCAGCCATAATCGCGCAGCAGCAGATCAGGGACCAGATCACGGTGGCAGTCCAGAACAGGCTGCTGGGCATCAGCATGGCGGTGATGGTTGAGGATCCCAATAAGGTGGCTCGGCGATCTAAGTCCAAGCGCAAGCGGCCACATAATGCAAGGGAGAAGGCAGCACAGCTCGGCCATGACCTGCGCAAACTACATCCGAGATGGTGGCGTGCGACATGCAGAAGTGGCCCCACCAAAGGGCAAAGTGCACGAGCCTGGCTAGCAGAGACGGGGGAGTGTTAGGGGAGAGAAAGCAGCCACCTGGACCAGCACGGGAACGTGGGGCTCGATGTCAAGACAGTGCAGATCGGCACGCGGGTCGCCCACGACACCCACAAGACGCAGCTCACGCAGGGCTGGCTCTGGTGCGAGAAGTGTGGGGCCACAAGTTACCTTGGGAACCACAAGGGCCGAATCGTTGCAGGCGTTGCTCGCAAGCTGGCCAAGCCATGCGCCCCGCCCACCACAGCGGGGCGCAGAGTCATCATGGACCTGCAGAGGGGGGGGGGGGGGGGCTGCCGCGAAGAGCAAAGCATGACGAGGACCAAGCGGCAGCCGCGCCACCAGAGGAGGTCAAGGCTGCGGGTTTCAACCCGAGGGTGAGCAGCGAGGAGGTGATCGACCTGGACGGAGAAAGCTCGGAGGCAGAGACACCGCAGCAAGCTCAGCCACCAACGCCAAGGCATCCCCACCCAGCAGCCCAGGCGAGCTGACAGCTTGTGGACCACATGGAGGTCTACGCGGAGCAGTGGATGAACATGGTGGACCAGGATGTGTGGGAGGACAAGGACGACTGGATGGAGCACAGTGTCCCGTACCTGCAAGCCGCCACCACAAGAAGTAGGACGGACGTCCAAGACCAGAAGAATGCAGCCACGCCAAGGGAGACCCAACAGATCAGCGAATTCTGCGAGGACATCTGGAAGGGCACCCAGAAGGCGAGAAGGAGGCTCATGACATACATGTTCGCCCTCCCGCACGGCACCAGACAGCAGGCGGCAAGGGCGCATATGGAAGCCTTCCAGGGCAGGCGGACGATCATCATCACCCACAGCATCCCCAGCAGTGAGCGCAGGCCACTACCCAGCACGGCGGATGGCTACAGGGCGTGGACCCCAGAGCAACTGGACGACGACTCTACGCAACCAGACAACGATGTGCCAGAGCTGGAAGGCCATGACAGTGACCATGGCATGGGCATCGTCGAGGCGCTAGACCAGCACAACGAAGCCACAACCAGCGTCAAGGCCATCACGACCATGCAGGGGGCGCCACGGATCGCCAAGCCGACAGGGCCCAACCTGATGAAGTACGTGAGGGAGGCCAAGGAGGCAGGCATGCAGCACCCGCGACTTGGCCAGCAACGAGGAGATGAAGAGGACCCTGAGCGTGAGCTGGCCTGGCTTGAGAGGGGCCGCCTGGAGCTGCTCATGCAAACGCTGGCAGGAGGCTGGGCCCAGCAAGCAGGAGAGAGAGGCTGGCAAACGTGGAGTGCGGCGTGCGTACCCCATGTGCTGAGGGAGCTCCAGACAAGTCCATGCCAGCGGCTCTTCGGTGACACCCCAGGGCCAAGCAGACAACGCAGCCAGCGCAGAGCGGCAGAGGACATCTGCCGCACGGCCTGGCTCAACAGTGGAGTGGGGCGCAGGAGGACCCAGCAGCAGGGCCCTCGCGAGGCGGCGCGCCGCAGGACCATGGCAGAACAGCTCCTCGGAGCGGTCACGCCAGCAGCAGAACAAAAAGGAGGCCCAGCACCCCGGCGCGGTGAGGGGTTAGACCGCAACGGCCCCCAGCGTGGCGTGGGGCGAGACCATGGAGCTTCCAGACGCGGCCAGGGTGCAGATTGCACAGAACCCCAGCGTGGCGAGGGGTTAGGCCACAGCGGACCCCAGCGCGGTGAGGGGCAAGACCGCAGTAAGCCCCTGCGTGGCGAGGGGTTAGGCCACGAAGGGCCCCTGCACGGCGAGGGGGTAGGCCGCAGATGACCCCAGCGCGGCGAGGGGTTAGGCCACGGCCCTGCGCCAGACGGGATGCAGAGGGGTGCCCGCCCCCCACCAGCAGGGCGGAACACCACGGGCATGTTTCACCATGACCTCTCCCAGGGCGAGGAGAACAGCGAGGGCAGCTCCCAACAGCCCGCGGACAAGCAGGGCGGCGATGACAACCACCTGCAGATCCCAGGTCACCAGAACAGCATCGGCTACCACATGGCAGGCTGCAGAGGACCCCAGCGTGGCGAGAGGTCAGGCCACGGAGGGCCCCAGCGTGGTGAGGGCCAAAACCGCACCGACCCCCAGCGAGGCGAGGGGTCAGGTCACAGTGGGCCCCAGCGCGGTGAAAGGGTTAGACCGCAGCAGGCCCCTGCGTGGAGAGGGGGCAGGCCACCATGGACCCCTGCGCGGCGAGGGGGTAGGCCGCAGCGGGCCCCAGCGTGGCGATGGGGTTAGGCCACGCCCCTGCGCCAGACGGGATGCAGAGGGGTGCCCGTCCCCCACCAGCAGGACGGAGCACCGAGGACATGGCAGACCTCGACCACTTCCTAGACGAGGAGAACAGCGAGGACTGCCTCCAGCAGCCCGAAGACAAGCAGGACAGCGATGACAACCACCAGCAGACCCCAGAGGTACAGCACAGCATAGGGTACCACCTGGCAGACCGCAGAGGAACCCAGCGCGGCGAGGGGTTAGGCCACGGAGGACCCCAGCGCGGTGAGGGGTTAGACCGCAGCAGACCCAAGCATGGTGATGGTTTTGGCCACGAAGGACCCCAGCACGGCGAGGAGACAGACCGCAGATGACCCCCGCGTGGCGAGGGGTTAGGCCACAGAGGACCCCAGCGCGGTGAGGGGTTAGACCGCAGCAGGCCCCTGCGCGGCGAGGGGTTAGGCCACGGAGTACCCCAGCGCGGTGATGGGCTAGACCGCAACGATCCCCAGCGAGGCGAGGGGTTCGGCCACAGGACACCACAGTGGTGAGGGGTTAGACCGCAGCAGGCCCCTGCGTGGCGAGGGGTCAGGCCACGGAGGACCCCAGCGCGGTGAGGGGTTAGACCGCGACAGGCCCCTGCGTGGCGAGGGGTTAGGCCACGGAGCACCCCAGCGCGGTGAGGGGTTAGACCGCGGCAGGCCCCTGCGCGGCGAGGGGTTAGGCCACGGAGTACCCCAGCGCGGCGAGGGGCTAGACCGCAACGATGCCCAGCGAGGCGAGGGGTTCGGCCACAGGACACCACAGTGGTGAGGGGTTAGACCGCAGCAGGCCCCTGCGTGGCGAGGGGTCAGGCCACGGAGGACCCCAGCGCGGTGAGGGGTTAGACCGCGACAGGCCCCTGCGTGGCGAGGGGTTAGGCCACGGAGCACCCCAGCGCGGTGAGGGGTTAGACCGCGGCAGGCCCCTGCGCGGCGAGGGGTTAGGCCACGGAGTATTTTCCCCAGCGCGGTGAGGGGTTAGACCGCACGACCCCCAGTGTGGCGAGGGGTCAGGCCACGACGGACCCCAGCGCGGTGAGGGGTTAGACCGCAGCAGGCCCCTGCGTGGCGAGGGGTTAGGCCACCACGGAGCACCCCAGCGCGGTGAGGGGCCAGACCGCAGCAGGCCCCAGCGCGGCGAGGGGTTAGGCCACGGAGGACCCCTGCGCGGCGAGGGGCTAGGCCGCAACGCACCCCAGCGTGGCGAGGGGTTAGGCCACAGGCCTGCGCCAGGCAAGGAGGCCGTGAAGGCCCACGAGTCCAGGGACCAGCGGCCTGTGCGGTCCCTGGAAGAGCGCAGGGCGGAGGAGCGGCTGCGGCCGTCCATCAGGCTGCTCCTCAAGCTCTGAGAGGGCGGCGGCAGCATTTCTTCAGACTGCCGCCGCTCGCGGGGCGACTCCAGGAGTCTTACGAGTGGCGGCAGCAGGACGCCGTGAGATGAGGCCGCTGGCCCACCCCGCCTCGGGCGCGTTGCCCCGCGCGGGGTGCCGAGACCAGGGGCGCCCACTCACGGGCGGGAGCACGCGGGTTTAAAACAACAAAATCGTCCTACTCCTCCTTTTCCTCCTCCTCCTCCTCCTC